CTTGTCACTCATGTCACAAGCATTTTAACACCAAACTCAAATCCAAGGATGGAAATATATTCTGCACCTGCCTAAGTTTTATAAAGGATAAAAAAACAATTCTAGGGGAGAAATGAGGAAAAAATATATACATATGTTTATTTTCAAGCCAGGGAATGGCTGAAAATGGGGAGAAGAATCAGAAGACAAGAGTACAGTTGAAGAGAAGAAAGGGAAGAGAAACTACTTAGTATAAAGGGCTTTGCTCTCGAGCCAGACTCCTCCCCATTCTGGCTGTGTGGCCTCAGACAAATTACTTGTCTGAAATCTTACTTTCCTCACTGATAAAGTGGAGATATAATGCTCACTCAAAGGCTTATTTTGAGGTGAAAAATAAATAAATAATGCCTTTCAAGTACTTAATACTATAGCACTTAATAAGTATTAAGTCAGCAACTCTTGTCTGAAATCTTACTTTCCTCACTGATAAAGTGGAGATATAATGCTCACTCAAAGGCTTATCTTGAGGTGAAAAATAAATAAATAATGCCTTTCAAGTACTTAATACTATAGCACTTAATAAGTATTAAGTCAGCAACTCTTTATCATTGTTGTTGATTCCTGAGCACAGAAGTGATCATATTGGCAAGCTCTCTTATCTGAGCATAAATAAGTAAAGGAATATTTGAATAAGACGTAACTAAGGAAAAAAATACATAAGGGTATTAGATTATATGGAGGAAATAACCTGATTGATAGCAGGGCAATTATGCATTGTGGAGCCTCCCCTGAAAAGAAAAGAAAAGTCATGCCTCATTTATCTGTGATGCTTTAAATGTGGCCTTGAAGTCAAGGGCAAGGTAGATGTAGCTTCCAGTTTCTTTTTTAGCACTTGGTCTCTTATAGCTTCAGGAGGTAAACATTTTTTCTGGCCTAGAATGCCTAGAAGGATACTTGAGAAACTAGCTGATTCTGCCAGGAACAAATTATTGAAGGGCCCTAAGGCCCTGACCACAAGGAAAACTGGAACAACCTGCAAGGCAATGTTCTGGGGCATGCAAGCCGGTCCACAGCCAGCACTCCTGCTCCCAGGGCTGGGATAAATATAGCGATGCTCGGCTTGCGTGTAATTCATTAAGGAGGCACTGTGCACAGCTGAGCACTCACTAAATGCAAATGGAGCCCCATATG